GGGGGGGGAATGGCCATGCCACAATCCCTACTGCATTTTCCTCTCGGGATTCTGGGTGCACTTGCACACATGATTTGCAAACCTCCAGGTCTGGGATTTGAACCATGGTCAGCCACGTGGGAGACTGGTGCCTTAACTACCATATCACCTGCTGGCTCTGACCCCAGTCTTTTCCAGGCTCCAAATGGCCAGATGGTCTACCCTGGAGACCCCTGAGCTCCACGGCTGGACAAACTTGGGGAGGGGCCATCTCCCAAGTGCCGGGCTCGGGTTCATGGCCAGGATCGGCAGGGTGGAGCCTTGCTTAACTAAGGGGAAACTGAGGCCCTGGGTAGAGGCCCTGCTGCCTCACCTCCTAATCCCCCCCAGATCTGACCACTTCCCCAGGGCCACTGGGCCACAAGAGACCTCGGGGTCATTCTGCCGCCCACCCTCCCCTGGTTCCCAGACGCTCTCACCATCAAATCCTGCCTCCACCCACAGCCTTATCCATCAAGCCCCCTCTGTCCTGGCCCCCTTGCTCCTGGGACAGGCCAGGCTCGTGCCCATTGCAGGACCTTTGTGCGTGCCTGTCCCCAAACACTCTTCCCTGTCCTCTGCCTTCCCTGACTTCCTCCTCATATCCCAGCTTCCCTCCTACGAGGGGTCCGTGCCCCTCTGAGAGACCAGCGAAGCTCTGCTCGAGATAACGGTGTAGACTGCAATGCCTGGGGGCCCACAGACCGGACAGGACACCCTGTGGAGGTCAGGGCTGTGGCCTAGTGACTCCGGCCCAGAGCAGTGCTAGACAATAAGTGGACACAAGTTGCAGAAAGGACCAAGCTACGTCCAGATAAGATCTGAGCCTTCCCAGGGCCAGCAGGTGGCCTGGTGGTTAAGGGCACTGGACTCCCACACGGCCGACCATGGTTCGAGTCCCAGACCTGGAGGTTTGCTTTCTCATTTTCCCTCTCTCTTTTTCTCTCACTGTCCATCTCTGGTCAATTAAAATAAATAAATAAAGTTAAAATTAAAAAAAAAAAATCTGAGCCTTCCTGGATTCTGAGCAGTGAGGCTCAGGCTGTTTGCTGATCTGGAGGGGCACAGAGGGGGCTGGACCCTGGGCTAGCAGGAGTGAGCCTGAGGGACACAGCGAGTAGCCGTTAGGGTTCCTCTTGGGTGCAGGAAAGGGGGTGGCCAGTACCCCACCCTGGCGTGGACTTGCTCCGTTTCGCTCTCCCTGGGCCTTGTCTCTGCCACCTTCACTCACTGTCTCTGTGCCGCCAACTCCAGACCCCCCAACACCCTCCTCCCCACAGCCCTCTGCAGCCCTCTAGGCTCACGGCTCCTGCAGAGCAGTCCCTGAGCTCTGTGGAGGCCGGAAGAGCAGTGCACAACCGGAGCCGGCTTCCTTCCCTGCCGGCAGGGGTCCAGGCAGAGCTTCCTCCCCAGGCCTGACCACCCGCAGCCCTGACCCCTCCACCTGGCCCTCCCTGGCCTGCTCAGTGCATGCCATCATCTGTAAGGTGGGCAACAGGGCAGACCTGCCTCCGGGCAGTGGGTAGGACAGGAGTCCTCCCAGCCTCCATTTACTGTAAAACGCCAATGCTAGCTGGTATGGTGGTTGGGGCAGCTGGATCCCACATGGCCGAATGCCTGGTTCAAGTCCCAGATCTGTCAGCTTGAAGAACACACAGGCACATGTGCATGGACGCCCAAAAATCCCAAGAGGAGAATGCAAGAGAAGGGATTGTGGCATCCCCCTTGAGAGGATGCTTTCTCACTTTCCCTCTTCTTTCTCTCTGGTGAGTTGCATGCATCCTCCAGTAAATTAAAAACAAAAATAGAAAAAGAACTACTAGAACCCTATCTCAGCATCCAGAGGATAGAAAACCACTGAGTGTGGGGCCAGCAGATGGCACAGTGGTTTTGTCGCTGGACTCCAATACGGTTGACTACAATTTGACTCTGGACCCAGTGGCTTGAAACCCATGTCGGGCACATATTCGTGTGTGCCCAAGATCCTAGGAGAAGAATGGAAAAGGAGGGACTGCAGCATGGCCATCCCTCCTAGGGAGTTATTTCGCACTTTCCTTCTCACTGTCTGTCTCTGTCTCCAAAGAGCACATGTGCCTCTAAAGATGTTTTTTTTTAAGTTTTTAATTAAGGGACCAGAAGTTGGCATAATGGCTATGTCGCTGGACTCCCAGGTAGTCGACGACAGTTCAAGTCCCAGACCCGGTGGCTTAAACTCACGGTGGGCACGTGTGCATGCATGCCCAAGATCCCAAGAGGAGAATGGAGGAGAAAGGATTGCGGCTTAGCCATGCACCCTGCGGGGTGATTTCTTGAACCTTGTAGTTAAGGGGCCGGCAGGTGGCATGGTGATTAAGGCCGCTGGACTCTCGCTCGCATGGCCAACCATGGTTCAAGTCCAGTACCTGCTTTCTAATCCCCCCCCCTCTCTCTGGTCTAAATAAATAAAGGTAAATAATTCTGTAAAAGAAAAAAAAAACTATTTTCTAGTTAAAAGAAGAGTCCTGAGTCCTGCCTTCTTGAAAGAACCAGGAACGTTTAGCCTGAAAATCAATGTTGAGGGGGGCACCTGATAAAGGGGACACACAGCTGATGGGATGTGTGACCCTGAATTCAGGTCAAAGGGGTACCCGTACATGGGAACCTCAGAGAAGGCGCCCATTTCCCAACCAAAATCTCTTATGCCTGGCCAAATACGCCCACGAGGGTTTCCTTAATTTGCTAACTTGGTGCCACAAGTTAAATATGCCCGAGGGCCTGGGGTAGCAAAAAGGGAGTGCCTTTTCCTTCTCCAAGGCCTGGGACGTAGGAAGAGATTGAGAGGGTAGAGGTGGTGGCTCAGGAAACAGGGCCTGGGATCTTGGGCGCGAAGGGTTGGAACACAAAGCTGCAGGAGGCGCCAGGTGACCCGCCTTACGGTTAGAGGTCGTACAACCTGAGCCTGCTATAGGGGACTTCCCAACCACACAGAGCTGAAGGGCGGTTTGGAGGTGACAATGAGGCTGGACAAAGCAGAACAAGCATGGGGGTGTGCGCGGGGCCGGGTCTCGGCAGCCAAAAGGCAGGTGGAGCATCCAGGCTGATAGTTCGGGTTCCCTAGCACGAGCGCCCAGGCGCCCAACGCCACGTGCTGGGGGGAGTGTCCGAGACGGATGTGCAGCGCGGCCAATAGTGAGGCGCAGCCGGCGCGGGGGGCGGGGCGAAGCCGTCGGAGGGGGCGGGGCGGAGCCGCCGGAGGGGCAGGAGG